GATCATCGTCGAGGACGTGGATGAGCCGCCCGTGTTTGAGCGCGCCAGCTACGTAATGGAGGTGAAAGAAGACGCGCCCAAGAACACCGCCATCGGCTCCGTCAGCGCGTCTGATCCGGATGACAAAAACAGCCTCGTCAGGTAAGTGAACCAAGCTGCATCTCCAGTTTTCTTTTTATTTCACAGCTTAGCTCTTTTTCAAAACTTGCTGCTGTGTGATCTTTCCGAACGCACTTCAAGGCAGCTATTGATTTCTATTCAAAAGCCAATAAAAAGGCTGAGCATGATAGCTCATTCAAGCACCACTTAATTGCTTTTGCTGGAGGTTTCAGTAACATCTGAGCAAGTTGAGGACCACTCGTCAGTCTTAGTTAACAGTACAACTACTGGGAGTTGGAGAACTGACAAAATTAGCTTTTAAGATGCGGTTTGGGGATTGTGTTGGCTTTACAAGTCATTTAGATGATTTAATTACAGATTGTAAAGGCAAAACATATTTTAAAATATACAACTAAACAAAAGGTACAATAACTAACCAATCTAAATAATTTAATTAATAATCAAGAAGAACATTAGGGAAAAGTTAAAAACAATTTTTTGATAACCAGCGAGCCACCCAGCTCTCCCTAGCTCTCGATCGAGCAGATGTCATATCCAAATGTGTGTAAACATTATGTGTTTCTAATATTTTATATGGATTTGTATGTCATTTTAGGAGATGTGATCAAAGTCTTTTATTTCAGCAATGCTAAATGATTGAAAATGTGTCAAAAAGCCTTCCCTGAGCCAAGTTTCTTCCTGTTACAAGGGAGTTTTTCCTCCCCACTTTAACTGATTCTTGGGGTTTTTGCCAGAATACTAATAATAAGTCTTTACCTTACAGTGTAAAGCACCTTGAGGAGAACTATTGTGATTTGGTGTTATATAAATAAACCTGAAGTGAAATTAATCAGTTAATAAATGAAGTGCATAAAATTTAATTTCTGTTTGTGCAAACATGAATCACAGTTAATGCATCCAGAAAACTGAAACTACAGCATGCGTGGGCTCTAAATGAGCATAACTGCTGTTGAAAGAAGTAAAAATTTGGATTCTGTTTTATCTCATATACAATGACAAAATGTTAGCAAAGGAAGAAAAAAGGAAGTCTTATGCCCTTAGATTGGATTTTCAGGTCCCAATTATCTTTAAGACTGTTTGAAAAATCAATGAACACAACTCATTTAACAAAGTTGTATACCCCAGTGGTTAGATCACAGCTTCAATTTGTGGTTTGAATAAACATACATTTACTGTGATATTGACCTGTTCTCACCCACTTACATTATAAACCATCAGTCACTGTCAACATGCAGTGTAAAATCCACTATACAAATCTGACTACAGAGGCTCACATGCTGTGATAACATAGTCTAAATTCAAGTCTGAGCTTTTCGCTCTTTAACCTTTTAAAAACGGTCAGAGCGGGCACGCTCCGTTTTGCGTAACTATTTTTAAATCCCTGTAGAACCGGAACCGCGTAAGCTAGCGCAATAATGTTTTTTGCATATGAAACCGGAGGAGTTGTACTTACATCTTATGCCATCAGCTTGTCCCAAGTCACGGTTTCCTTCCACATATAGCTTTGCAAATATTGCATAAAAAGTGCTTGCAGGAACAAAAACATAATATTCCAGAAACACGCTTTGCCGATCCGATCAGCTGTTCGTAACACTTCCCACATTAAAACAGACATCAGCACGAACGATCGCATGTCCGCCATTACCTGCCCGAAACCGGAAGTGGCGTCATTTTCGCGGAAAATTTGTTTGTTTGCCTTTATGCTTTTCTGAATAGTTGCTGGGATGCTTAGGACTCACATTGCACTGCTGGAAATAGTTTATTTTGATGCACATGCTGTTTTATTTGCAAATTTGCATCATAGGATTGTTTTTCGTTTTTTCTGCAGTATATAAAAATTGGTGTATCTCAAAAATAAAACTATGAAGACACTCAAAATAAATTTCCTGTTGTTGTAAACTATTTTTTGCAACTTTTTTGTATTTAAAGTTTTGAGGGATAAACCTCTTAAATTTCTCCAAGTAGAAATATATGTAAAAAAAAGTAGTTTATTGCACTTTTTTGCAATTTATGTAGTTACTATGGACTTAATGCATACATATTATTAAAATATGGGCTATAACAGTTGTATTGATGTATAGCAACTTGAAATGCTCCCAAAAATAGCACTACAGCATGTAAAAATATAATATAAGCTCTGGCGGCCTTGGTTCTATGGTAGGTCTTAAAGGGTTAAGCAGCTTCACACAATAAGAAAACAAGACAAAACTCAAGTAACAACCACCATGTGAACCTTGAGTTAAGCATATAAAATCTCACTAACCGATTTCTACACAGAGTCAATATTTGGAGCTCCCATTAAGTGAATTATTCATCTTTAATGCGAGATGTTGTTTAATGTTCTGAAGGTTGTAAATGGATCTTTGTGCTCTTGTTTTCTTCACCATTAACATAAACAGCGCTAAAATAATGAGGCCTGCGCAGGGAGACACTTTGTTCTGCTACACATACAAAATGCAGCGAAATAATGTGAAGTGCCAAAAGTTCGCTTACACAACTTAGCTCATGGAGATACAAAATTATGCGAGCGTTGTATAAAATGGGAATAATGGCAGTGGGGTGTGAGGCTGCGCCTGGACTCCGCTTCAGACTTTTTCATTTTTATGATGCACTAAGGGAGTTGGCTCTCAAGGTTGAAGTTCCACCACTTTATTGCAGGTGTCAAATATGATATCATTCTCTTTTATCGCCCATCATCAAGGAGGTAGCTACCCTGTGGCATTTAAAGCCGTGCAGAGGAGGAGGAGGAGGAGGGAGGAGGGTTGGGAAGCCCGGGGGCTGCCTGGCATGAGGAAGTCACTGAGACGGTTATCTTTATTAGCTCGCTGCGACTTGCGGACACGTGCACGTGTGTGGCAGGGATGCATAGGCAAATCCATAAGTGCAGTATATAGACTAATGCAGACACATGCATGTTTCATCCTACATTTTTCCTTCTGATTGAAGATTTCAGGTCAGCTCTTTACATGAGATTTGATTTACTGCAGTCTGCAGCTTACATTCTTTTAAACACAACACTGTGGCCTGAACAAATACGAATAAGATGTGATGAACATGTCATGCATTTCCCTCACTGAATGCCTCTTTGGCAAGCGTGTCACTGGCTCTGTGAATGTGGAGAGCTATCGTGTTTTCAGTGTCCGTGTTAAGAGCTTTTATTAAAAACCAGATTCTCTACAGAAGTAGAGTTGCTTGGATGCGGACATTTCTGGAGCAGTGTACTTACATATACACTCATCAGCCATTTTTTGGGGGTGTACTTGACTACTCGTCTGGCAGAAACTCATTTAGGCATATAGACATGGTCAAGATGACCTGCTGAAGTTAAAGCTGAGCACCAGAATGGAGAAGAAAGGTGACTTAAGGGACTTTGAATGTGGCATGGTTGTTGGTGCCAGACAGGCTGGTCTGAATGTGTCAGAAAATGCTTATGTACTGAGATTTTCCTACTCGAGCATCTCTAGGGTTTAGAGAATGGTCCAAAAAAGAGAATATATCCAGTGAGCAGCAGTCCACTGGGAGAAAATGGATTGTTGATACCAGAAGTCAGAGGATCAGGTCAAACTGCTTCGAGTTTATAGGAAAGTGAAAATAATCCCCATTATAACCAAAGATAGCAAAACATTTCTGAATGCAAAACACATTGAACCTGGTAGCAGGTGTGCTGCAGCAGCAGAAGACAACACTGCTAAGAACAGGAAACTGAGGCTACAGTTTGCAGGGGCTCACCAAAATTGGGCCATAGGAAATTTTAATATTGATTTCTTGATTCTTGATTTCTACATTTCTATAAGGTCAGAAATTAGCGTAAACAACATGATTGTGTGGATCCATGCTTGTGGGAGATATTTTCTTGCACACTTTGGACCTCTTAGAACCAGCTGAGCATTGTTTAAACCAGGGTTTTAATAGTTTTGCAGTTTTCATTAGTTTTTATTTTTATTTAGTTTTGACTTCAGATTTTCAATTTTATATCAGTTTTAATTAGTTTTTACCAATTGTTTGCTAGTTTAGTTTAGTTTTTATTTTTTT